TTTTAAAGTTGTGGTGGCTCTGTTTAGAGGAACATTTTTATTTTTCAAAAAGTGTGGTGCCTTTATTTAGAGGAGCATTTATTTTTTCAAAGTCGTTGAGCCTCTATTTAGAGGAACTTTGTTTACCTTTTTCAAAAAAAAAGAAAAAAATAAAAAGAAAAAATGAAAAAGGAAAAGATGAATGTGTTGGAATGATCATGTACATGGTGTCAATGTTTTTACACAATTCCTTTTAGACAGAAAATGTGCAAAGAGAGGCAGCTGTAGACACTCTAATTAGTTTGGGCCCAAGCCCATTAGGTCTAGTCCAATAGGGTTTGAGCCTCAGCCATTGGGCCTGGTCTAATAAGGGGCAAGTTGGCTTAAAATTTTTTTATTAGTTATTCTGATTTTTTATTTTAATTTTTATTTAAAGAAATAATGATTAAAATTAAAAAAAATAATAAATAAAATTTAAAAAGAAAAGAAAGAAAGGTTCTGCCAATTCGTGGTAGAATCCTGGATGGACTCAATCAGTATAGGATTTGTGAAATCCCATCAAATTATGGACTTGTAATCAAACGAAAATTCTCTTCTAATTCAACCTATAAATATAGGCTTGAACAGAATAAAAACATAGGAGATAGGTAGGAATAGAAGCAACACACAGAAACAAAAATAAAAAAATCACACAAAGAAAGAAAAAATTGAAAACACAATAAGCTGAAAGCATAAAAAAATTTTCGAAAATTTTTGGGTTTAGAGAAAAAGAAAGGTTTTTTTTGAAAAAATATGGAAAAATCCCCAAATTTTGAAAACTTTCTGGAAAATTTTTAGTTTTCGTTGAATTTTCTAGCACTGGTTGAATTTTTCGATGATTTTTTCGGGGCCGTTTGAATTTTTTGATGAAAAATTCCAGAATTTAGTGAAGATTTCAGTGAAAGTTGAATTTTTCAATGATCGTTTGATGACCCAACCCAAATTCCGACGATATTCCCCAAAATTTAGTCAAAGTTCAATTGGAGTTCATCCGAAAAGGGAGACAAAGAGAGAGAAAAGAAATGGAAGAGAGAGAAGGAGAAGAGGAGATCTGAAGCAAAAAAAATGAGTTTTGCCTTTTATAGGGCCCTGAAACGATGTTGTTTTAGAGTTAAGTAACTTCCTAGGATTCGCACGTTTTCATTTGGACGACCCGACCCAAGCGCTGACTTGCGTTTCAACCCATTCCCTAGACGTTGTTGCTGAGCCAAGCCGTGCACCCTGAGTCGCACTTTCCAACCTCCTCCTGTGTTGAAACTGAGCCGTTTTGAGCCATTTCAGTCGAGTAGTATTTTTTTTTTGGTTTTTTTAATTTATTTTTTATGTTTTTTTTTTCATTTTTACATGATTAAATTCAGAAAAAGAGAAAAAATAAGACAAATAATAAAAAATTTGTGAATAAATATTAATTATTTAATGATAAAATTTATAGAAATTTCAAATGATAAATTTCTATAAAATTTCTAGGTGAAAAATTTTGTCTAAATTTGTCTCAAATAGTGAAATAATTTAGATAAAGTTTTAATAATAATAATTAATATTTATTTTCAGACCAAAAAAAATTGAAAAAGAAAAATAAATAAAAGTATAAAAATTTTGGAATTAAATACAAATTACCCAAGAATGAGATTCTTAGAAATTTCAAATGGTAAATTTTTTAAGAAATCTCTATATGAGAAATTTCATCTAAATTTATCCGAAATGGTGGAATAATTTAAATAAAATTTCAATACAAGTAATTTTATCCTTTTTCAAATAAAATTTTGATTGAAAATATGTTATAATTACCTAATGATGAGATTTTTAAAAATTTCAAATGGTAAATTTCTAAGAAATCTCTAGGGGAGAAATTTTCTCTAAATTTGTCCCAAATGGTGGAATAATTTAGATAAAATTTCAATAAAAATAATTATCATATTATTTTCTTTAAAAATAAAAAATTTTTCTAAATATGCCCAAATGGTGAAAATTTTAGAAATTTCGAAAAAAAAATATTTCTAAATTGACCCAAATGGTGAAATATTTAGAAATAAAAAAAAAGAAATAAAAAATTTTTAAATAGACCCAAATGATGAAAAATTTAGAAATTCAAAAAGAAAAAATATTTTTAATTTGGCCCAAATGGTGTAATAATTAGATATATTTACAACAAAAAAATAATAAATAAATTTTTTTCCAACAACGGAGCCTCTTTAAGATATCAAATAGGATTCTTGAATACTCTTGAGGTGAGAAAATATTTTTTTAAGAGTTTTACTAGATTGATGGAGAATCTTAAAAGTTATTTCTAATATTTAACATAAAAGTTTAAAACCATTAAACTCAAGACCTAAGGATAAATTTAAAGAATATGGTACCATTCTGTGGATTAGCATATGGGGGTGCTATAACCTTCCCCACATATAATCGAGCTCTCGAATCTTGTTCTAGTTAGTAGACCCGAACATATTTTTTAGAGACCCTTAGTTAAGCTTAAGAGTTTCTTAAAAGGATATATTCCTTAGGTGGCCAATCACACATAGTAAAAAAGAATGGTGGTGACTCAATTCATTTGTTAAGTCTAGTTATAGATTTTCGAATCTATATTTATGACAACAACGACCGGGGATGGTGGCTTGGGGCGACATTTGCACTAGAATCTGGAAACCTTTGGACTTTACAGTGTGTTCTCCTGATTTAGTGAAAAGGGGCAGAAACTGAAAATTGGATTATGATAGCAGATTTTTATGCTTTTATATTAGTGTGAAATGATGCCATTTCATTTGCTAAAAATTTAGTTGATCTGCATGTTTTTGTTAACCCGACCCATGTTCTATGGCCATTCGAGCTGCTGGCCTACATTTTCAAGTCGAGCTTAAGCCATAAGCAGAACAACCTCTTATGTGTGAAGTTAAGCCACAACGAATTTCTTGAGCCAAGCCGTGATTTGTTTTAGTATTTTTTTATTTTGCCTTTGATTTACTTATTACTTTTTAAGTGAATTTGAAAATTAAAAAATACAAATAAAAATTTTAAACAAAAAAAATACTTTAAGGAAAAGATGAAAGTATCAATTTTCCTTAAAGATAAAAATTTCAAAAAAAAAAATTTTAAGGAAAAGTTGAAAGTATCAATTTTTCTTAAAAATAAAAATTTCAAACAAATATTTTTGAGAAAAATTTGAAAGTATTAATTTTCTTTTTGAGGAAAAGTGGAAAGTATTAATTTTCCTTAGAAATAAAAATTTCAAAAAAGGCATTTTTGAGAAAAAGTTGAAAGTATCAATTTTTCTTGTATAAAGGCATGAATTTAAAAAAAAAAGATAAAACAAAATAATAAAAGAAATCCCTATAAAAGGTTGAAGCATTATTCCTTTTTCTTTTTTTTTCTTGGAAATTTCTTGGTGTTAAATAATTCAACATGGAAGCATCTTTAAGAGAAACAGTAGTTTTCTTGTATACTCTTGAGGTAAGAGAATTTTTTTAATTTTCTACCAAAAGTATTGAAGTCAATTAAGAATAATTTTCAATAATTAATTACTTGATAAGATTTTTAAGGCTTAATGGATAACACAAAATTAAACCGATACCATCTTTCGATGGGCGTTGTAGGGTGTTATAACTTTTCTCATACGTAACTGTACTTTCGGACCTAGTTTCGGTTTCATAGAGATTGAATCTATCTTTTAAAGATACCTAAGTCAAACTTAGGTTTTCTCTTTAAAAAGGAATAGATTCAGTTAGGTGGTTAATCTTATCTAAACAAAAAAGATTAGTGGTAACTTCTCAAGTCAATGTCTGACTATAGGTCCACGGATCAGGATATTATGACAATTTCAAATACTTGATTATAGAAATACACATTTAACAAATCTATCCTTGCTTCACAAACATTATGTTTCTAAGAAGAAAAAAAAAACTCAGGAATTATATATTGGATAAAATAATATATACAAGGTTATAAGAAAAACAACTTGTGTATATTTAAATGTCTTGATAATTAGAGAATTTCTTGTAGCCTTTTTAATGTGTAGTTGAGTAGAATAATTAGGACCTTTAGTCACGAATAAAGTCACTTTAAAGAATGCTACAAATGTTACTTTCCTAAAGGTTTATTTCACCTCAATTAGTTATAATATGCAAAAGAAATAAACCTACATGTGTCTAAAATATAATGAAGCGTTATTTGTTTCTACTTTGTATTAATAAAAAAATGACTAAATACTTCTTGATAAGAATGAAAATATCTTATTTTCAACAAGGTTTTCTCAACAAATAATATTAAAGAAACTTGTCTTTAAATAAGGAAAAGATTAGGACAAAGGAAGATAGTTTTTTGGCTTTTCAAAATTATGAATTGTGTGTACAAATGAACTTACATCTACATCTATTTATAGAGACCAAATCCTAAGATTATAACTCTTTGATTGTATTTGAAAATTGAATGGTAAAACTTAAATATTTGAACCAACCAATATATGTGATTAGTCATGCACTAATACCACACACAAAATTTCAAATACCATCAAAGCGTCATTTAGCCTTGCTTTGACACAATTTTAATGGCATTTGTCTTATATATTCATGAGTGTTTTCAAAGTCAAGTCCTTACTCCAAGAAATGGCACCACTACTACTCATATATGTAAACTTCATCAAGAATGCAACATATAAGCATTCCAACATTAAATTTACATGTTATGAATTCATTAAGAGTCATTACAAAAAAAATAAGCATTTAGTGATAATTTTTAATGATGTTTCTCAACAAATATCGTTAGGTTTCATGTTTTCAAAAAGTTAGCAGTTTTTTTATCGTAAATACCATTAAATATACATATAGTGGCATTTGCAATATAAAAGCCACTAATTAGTAGTAGTTAGGACGTTTGTTCCTAAAAATACTACTAACTATAAAATTAATAGCATTTCTATTTAAAAACACCACAAATAAAATTATAAAGATTAATTAAATTGATTTTTTTTTTTTTATGGAAGAGAAGAATTTTAACAACGTTTGTTTGAAAACGTCGCTATGTAACATTATTTAGTGGTGTTTGTCTTTGCAAACGCGGCTATTTGCTCAAATTTAATGGTGTTTACTTATAAAAATGCAGCAATTTAACATCATTTAGTGACGTTTGTTCTCATAAATGCTGCTAAATTTTCCCTAAAATTAGCAAATCAGTCAAGCCCTGCACTTTCATTTTCATTTCCCCCTTTTTCCCTGCCCTGATTGTTTTCATTTTCCTTTCTATTTCTTTTTCTATTTCATTAATTTCTCTTTCATTTCTCTAGATTTAAGGGGTCTAGAGGCAGTTGAAGAAGAGGTAATCTTTATATTTCCTTTTAATCTTTATATTTCTCACTTTAGTTTAGCCTGATCTATAATTTATGAATACTTCACTTCACCAAGCTTGATCTGTCAAGAAAAGCCAGCACTTTTTCAAAGGCTTTGGGGTTCAAAATCGAAATTATAAAAAAAAAATTCTTTCCATTTTCATATCCCTTCAATAAAAAGCAATTGCGCTCATGCTCTTTCTCTCTCTCTCTTTGCCACTCTTGAGCTTCGATCTTCTCTTCTCACACTTAGAACGACGACGCATTCTTATTTAGAAGACAGTCTTATTCTTCACTTCTTGATCTCAAGGTTAGGGTTTTTTATGGCAATTTCATAAAAGTTCTTGCTTTGATTTGGTTTCAATGTTTGATTGTATAAACTGTATTAATTTAAAGGTTAGGACTTTGTTACTTGCTATCATTTTCGTGAGTAGATAAAAATGAACTCTTTTTTTATCTTTAAAAAATGAAGAGTTGAAGCTATTTATTATACAATGAAATTAGATGGATGGCTAATTTTCTGGGATTAGGGGTTTTATTACTTGTCTTTAGATGGTTGGCATTTGCTGTTTTTGCAAAAGCCAAGAAAGTTTAACTCTCTTCTTGTTAATTCCACTTTTTGGTTTCGTTGTTTGAATTGAATGGTAATGGTTTTTGATAATTTTATCGTTGGTACATTTTTTGTTTCTCTTTTTGGCTTTGTATTTCTTTTCATTTTGTGGCGTAATAACAATATGAAGAGGAAAATCGAAAAAGGTTCTAGGGAATTTAAGATCCAAACATACGCTGTTAACGGTACCGACATGGGACAATGCTCACCAAAAAATGGTTTCAGTGATGACATCATCATTGTCGGTGCCGGTGCTACTGCTGCTCTTGCTCATACTCTTGGCAAGGTAAATTCTGTTTTCTTTTAATTATTTTTCTTATCTACTATAATTTACTCTGGTCTTTTTTGTTAATGGACTTTTTCAAATATAGAGATAATTATTGAATTTTGGTCATTATTCATTGAGAAAAGTTAAGTTTTTTTAAATGAGAATTCGCTTTTTTATGCAAGAAGAAATGGGGTTGTTAAAGAAAATCTGGGTTTTCATTGATTTGGCTTGAAATTTAGTTAATTATTGCTTGCACCTATTCTACACGTGCATACGCTTTACAAAATTGGCTTGGTTGGGATTATGTTATCGTAGCAACATATTAGTTTGGAGTTTGATTTTGTTGATGTAAATGCCATGAAAAAGGATACTATATATATGTATATATATTCGTTTGATTGTTCTGTTTAGATTTTTGTTGGTCTTGACTGCAAATTTGGATCTTTTTGTTAAAAGGGTTGTAGATTTTGGAGTTTGACAAGTATTTTTGGGCGGCTAAAAAATGCAAACTATATCAGATTGTTAACGATTGAACTTGGAATTTAACTTGTAATTAACTTTGCTAACTAAATGAAGACAAGATCAGTGACCAGTTAATCGTTTGATGTGAACTTCAAAGTCATAGAAACCTCAATTTGGATATCGCTTTGTACTGTTATCTTTCTTGTAAGATTCTACTACCTTTTAAGAAATTCTAGAGGTAGATTAACTTGGATTGGTTGTTGTTAAGGAACAAATACAAGATACCGAATTGAACTTTCTTTCAAATTTGCTTTATAAATTCTAGATTTCTTAATTTTTAAGCATTAGATTCTTAGAAAGGCTTAAACTAGTGTTCATTTGCAATGATCCTTTTTTAGTTATTTAGTGCTAATTCATTTATAACTTTATTGCTAATTTCAAGATGGAAGGCAAGTTCATGTGATAGAAAGAGATTTGACAGAACCAGACAGAATTGTTGGGGAACTGCTGCAATCTGGAGGATACCTGAAAGTAGTTGAATTGTCCCTTGAGGGTATGCGTGAAAATTGATATGCATCTTATCAAACTGTGAACAAACTTTTGTTGGTTATTAATAGCTAAATGGTTTTCAGTTGGATATGTTCTCCTGATTTTTTTAACCTATAAAATGCAATTTATATTTGTTCTGATAACAGATTGCGTGGAGGAAATTGATCCATAGAGTGCTTGTGTATGCACTCTTCAAGAATGGGAGAAATACTAGATTATCATATCCCTTTCACAAATTTCATTCAGATGTTGTTGGGATGAGCTTCCATAACGAGTGTTTCATACAGAAGATGAGAGAAAAAGCTGCCACCCTTCCCAAGTTATCTGTTTTACTTCTACCATTCATGATGCATACATATTAAATGCCAACTGATTGCAGCATCGTTAACTTTGAAAATTTTCATTTTACAATTGGTAAAGGGTTACAAGATTGCAATTAATCTTCTTTCACCCCTGTATGTTAAATTTTCAATGTACGGCTAGAGCAAGGAATAGTGACATCTCTGCTTGAAGAAAATGGGACCATTAGAAGGGTGCAATACAAAACTAAGGATGGTCAAGAACTAAGAGCTTATGCTGCTCTTACTATGTGATGGTTGCTTTTCAAACCTACACCGCTCTCTTTGCAACCCAAAGGTGAAGTTGCCATCTTATAATTGTTATACAAATACTCTCTTTCTCCTTATCTAACAATCATTAGCTACAATTTTTGAAAATTGCATTGTCTGCCTGAATACTAAATTTAATCTTTTAATCTGCATGTGCTTATATTGCTTATGATGTTCTAGTAGGAAAGTAAATTTAGCGTTTTAAACTTTTTGACGGGTGGATGTGCGCTCCTTCTGCAGCCACATTCTTGGCACTTCACCTCCAAGATAATAATATTATTGCCATTGGCATGGAATATTCCACAATTCAAATTTATAATGTCAAGGTAGATGAGGTGAAGCATATTTTTTAGCTTTAATTAGTAATAGAAACTATTTTGGTTTATGTATGGTCAATTAAGACAACTTTGTTGAAGCAAGAGAATGCTAATTTTTGCATTTTATCACTCCAACTATTTTCTTAGAATTTATTATTAAATTCAAGCACCATTTTATCATTGTATGGCTCCATGCTCTTGCTAACATAGTCTAGCTTATCACCATTCAGCATTATTTAGTGTGTCCATTTTTTATATATGTTGTAATGACCATGATTGCAAGTTAACTTGGAATGTTAGAATCATTAAGCACATGGTTGGCGGCTTCTTGTTAATCTCTGTTCCTCTGCCTGTACAAAGAACCCAAGAAAGAAAATTAAAAAAAAAAAGGTTGTGATGAAAGGGATTAGAATCATTTGATTATTAAGTGGACTAGGGAAAGTCTTATACTGGCATTTCCTTTGAAATGCAAAGGCAACATATTCTTTGAGAGACTAAAACTCATTCTAGCATTTGCTTCAGAATAATTTTAAGCTTTTGGCATGACATTTGGCTCTAAAAGCATATTTAGGCTATTGCTTTTGGCAGGTCAAAACCAAACTCAAGAGGCACCAGAATCGGATAACAGGACTTGCCTTTTCCCAAACTTTAAATTCTCTGGTGTCTTCAGAGGCTGATGCACACGTTAGTTATTGATTGAACGAATATAGTACGATGCAACCTTTAGTAAACGTAGTTGTAATTTTATATATTGTCCTTGTATTGAGTGTCTTTAACTGTTTCACTGAATTGAAACAATTTTAACTTAAAACAAGCTGTCAATTTGGTGATAGATGAATTGTATTAAAAAAAAAAAAAAAGCAGGCAAGACAAAGACGATGTCAATTTAATAATTTTCTTACACATAATTTAACAAAATAATTTGTTGTTCACAATTACTTTATTTTCTCTTGCAGTTGTGTGTTTGGAGCATAAATGGATGGGAGAAAAAGAAACCGAGTTTCATACAGGCACCAGCTGGACATCAATCTCCACTAGCAGGAGAAACCAAAGTCCAGTTTCACAATGACCAAACTCATCTATTGGTTGTCCATGAAAGCCAAATAGCCATCTATGATAACAAGCTTGAATTTTTGAGCCATCTAAGTTGTCTACCTTGTATCATTTTCCTTGTATTATAGTTTCTCATTAGTATTATTGATATTATTACTTTTTCTGAGAACTTTTTTATGACATGACTAATCAAAATTTTCCTATCATGTTTTAATTATTTCAAGGCAAGATTGGAGACTTTGAAAGCTTGTTTTGGGGTAATCTTTCTGTCGTTTAAAAACTTTCAATTTACTCATTAATCTAACTAACTAAGCTTGTTTGTGTCACTGTTATTGGCATCATATATTAAAAATTAAATGTGGTTGCAGGTTGTGTTTTTATTGTCTTGTAGTGGATTTTTCTTCCAATTTATATTTCTTTGAGACCAAGGAACATTTCACTTACAAAATTCTTCCATTTGATTGTAAGAATTTTTTCCCCTAACACATTTTTGAATTGTTATATTCAGGTGTTTCAAGTTTATGATGAAAAAAATCCTCCGTCAAATGACAATACTCCAAGTCTCAACAGTTATTAATTTCATATTTTAAAAGCTTTTGCTTAATGTATTGAAACAGTTTAATGTTATTGTATTAAACTATGGTTACATGTAGATTGAAACAAATTATAAATTTAGATATTTAAATATTTATAATATTTAGTTTATAAATTTTAATTCGTTTTAATTTCTTTCAATATTTTTTATTTAATTATAATAGTAAAAATTGATAAAAATAAAAAAATAAAATTTATAATTTAGTGGTGTTTATAATAAAAAACATCGTTAAAGAACCAAAAATGACCTTTAATAATGAATTTTTTGAAACTGAAAGTTCATAAGAATAACAAATGCCATAATCATAGTCTTTCTTAAGTACTTAAAGACTCTTGTAATAGCATCTCAATACAAATTACTTAGGTTTCTTGCAAATCTATTAAGTTTACTAACTGTATAGGCTTCAGTCTCATATAAGTCATTACATACATTAAACAACTTTTGCATTTTCAGGTTGTGCAACCAATATCCCTTGATTTGGAGTTAATTTCAAATTATAATCAAAAGGTGTTGAGATTGTTGCATTATCAAAATGATTAAATTTCTTGAAAATCTCCTCAATATAATGTGACTATTAGAGTTTTCTCTAATTATCTTCATTTTCAAAATCATATTTGCAACACTTATGTCTTTCATAGCAAAATTACTAAACAAGAACTTTTTAGTACTTTCATTTTGTTCTAAGTCCATACCAAAAATTAGCATGTCATCCACATGTAGACATGTGATGACACTTTTCAATTTTTCAAACTTACTATAGATAAGATTTTCAAATTGATTGATCTTGAACCCATTAGCTAGCACAACATCGTCAAACTTTTAATGCCATCGCTTAGGAGCTAGTTTAAGTCCATATAAATATTTAATCAATTTACAAACATTTTTTTTTTGTCTAGGAAGTATAAACCCTTCTAGTTATTCCATATATACTTTCTCATCTAATTCACCATTAAAAAATGTTGTTTTAACATTCAGTTGGTGAATTGCAAGTTGATAGATGGAAGCCAATGCTATAAGCATTCTTATTATAGCAATTCTTGTTACTGGTGTATAGATATCAAAATAATCAATACCATACTTTTATGTAAATCCTTTAGTAACAAGTCTAGCTTTGAACTTGTCTATAATTTCATCGGTTTTCATTTTTTTTTTTTGAAAATTCACTTGCAATCAATAGGTTTGCAATCAAGAGATAGATTGACTAAGATCTATGTGTTGTTCCCAAAAACGGAATCCATTTCATTATCTATAGCTTTTTTACAAAAAGCTAAATCTTGAGACGTCATTGTCTTTTCAAATGTCCTAAAATCTAATTCTATATTGAAAATATATTCATTATATTTGTTGATTATTTCACTCATTCCTTCAACTTGGAACATATAAAATTTAGGACCAAAGTTTTAGCTTTTCTCGTTTTTTACTTATTCTTGGTACAAACTAGAATCTAGGGTAATTTCTTTTAAATTAGATTCTAGTTTGAATCTATATTCATCAAAGATAGTACATTTAGATTAAATTACCATATTAATTGGTATTGACTCATTTAGTTCTATCACCGTGAATCTATATGCATTGTTAAGTTGAGCATAATCAATGAATATGCATTTAATTCCCTTTTCACCTAATTTATTTCTTTTAAGTTTGAGAACTCTTACTATTGCTCTACAACCACATACCTTAAGATAATTTAGGTTAGGTTTTCTTTTCTTTCATAGTTCATATGGGTTAACTTGTTTCTTTTGTTAGGAACTCTATTTTGGATATTGCATGAAGTTAAGAATGCCTCACCCTAAAAACTTTATAGTAAATCGAAGTAGAATAGCAATGCATTAACCATTTTTGGTGAATGATCTATTTTCCTTTTCAACCACATCATTTAATTATGGACTATAAAGTGGTGCTACCTCAGGTATTATTCCACTAGATTTATAGACACTAGGATCAAAATATTCACCTCCCTTATTAGTTCTCAAAGTTATAATCCTAGAATTACTATACAATTCTGATTCATTTTTATAAGTCTTAAACTTATCCAATGCTTCATCTTTAGAATGCATCAAGTAAACATAGCAATATCTTAAGTAATCATCAATGAAAGTTACAAAGTACTTTTTACCAGCTATTAAAGGAGTACTATGCAAATCACATACATCACTATGCATTAATTCTAAGATTTTAGAACTTCGTTGAACTTTATGAAAAAGTTTTATAGTAATCTTAGTAAGCTTGCATGTTTTATATTTTCCATCATTCTTTTTAATACTTGAATTAAACTTGATTTAGACATTGCATTTATTCTTCCATAATGAACATTTCCTAATCTTTAATGCCAAAAATCAAAAGAATCAAGCAAGTAAAAATAATAATAATGATAATGATAATGATAATAATAATAATAATAATAATAATAATAATAATAATAATAATAATAATAATAATAATAATAATTTTTATTATTATTATTATTATTATTATTATTATTATTAGAAGATATATTGAGTTTAAACATTCCATTAAAGGCATAACATTTTCCTACAAATATGCCACCTTTAGACAAGATAAACTTGTCTCTTTCAAGTACTAACTTGAAACCATGCTTATTAAGCAAGCTAACGGATATAAGATTTTTCCTAACTTATGAGACATACAAAAATTGGTAATTGTTAGCATTTTGCCTAAAGTGAATCCTAAATTAATTGTTCTTTTACCTTTGTTTTCAATACTTAAAGAATTCCCTAAATAAAGCACATTGCCTTCATTTTCCTCTTAGAAAGTTTTGAATAAGGATTTGTTAGCTCAAACTTGTTTTATGGCTTTGAAATCAATTGACCATGCTTCATTGTCTTCTATGACATTGATTTCATAAATTATAGCAACAAAACATTTTTTGGTTGCTTTTGGTACTTTTTTTTTTCATTTAGATTGTAAGGCAATTTTTCTTGAAGTGACCTTGCTTCCCATAATGGAAATATACACCTTTCTTCTTTTTGAACTTCTTAGCATTTGGTGAGAGTTCTTTTCTCTTTATGGATTGGGTGGTTTGATGTTTTGTACTACATTGACTTTGGAGCTTTTGTCATTTTCTTTGTGATATTATTCTTCTAAGCGAAAATGACTTGCTAGTTCATCAAGATTAACATATATTTTTTTGGTGTTTCAATGTTTTCTTGAAATCTTTCCATGATGAATGAAGGTTGTCAATTATAAAAAATACAACAAATGTTTTATCCATTTTTATCTTGTATTGTTTAAACTAATTCAAGATAGTCTCAATTTCAAGAAATTGATCCATGATCAATTTAGAATCAGTCATCTTGTACATGTTCCATTTTGAAACTACGAAGGTTTTGGATGTAGCATCCTTTTTCATATACCTTACATTGAACTTATCCTATACTTCTTTTGTTGATGTGCATGTAATGTAGGTATTAAATAAAGAATTGGACATACCATTTAAAATGCAGCCCATGCATGCGTAATCATTATTTTCCCATTTTTGCCTCTTACGAGTTTCATTGTCTTTCTTTTCTAGCCTTAGAGTAGAGAGAACATATACAATCTTCAATGTGGTGAGGATGATATGCATATTTTGTTGCAACTTTAGGAAATTGCCTCCATCAAACTATTCCAATATTTGAAAATTAGTTGTCATCTCTATTCTGGATTTGAATTTGTTTATATTGCCAAGTAAACCTTAAGATTGTTAGATAAAATAATGTATACAAGGCAATAAGAAAAACAATTTATGGATACCTAATTATCTTAATAACTAGAGAATTTCTAATAGCCTTTTTAATGTGTAGTAAAGTCAAACAATTAGGACCTTCAATCACCAATGAAATGATTTCAAGGCGTGTTGCAAATACCATTTTCCTTAAAGCTTATTTCACCCCAATTAGTTATAATATGCAAAAGAGATGCACCAAAATACCTCAAAGATATAATGAAGCTTTACTTATTTTTACTTTACACTAGTAAAACAAACCACTAAATGCTCTTTAGTAAGAAGAAATACCTTGTTGTGAACAAAGTTTTCTGCAACAAACAATGCTAAAGAAACTTGCCTTAAATGAGAAAGAATTGGGAAAATGCAAGAAAGTTTTTTTGACTTTTCATAATTATGAATTGTATTGTACAAAAGAACTTACATAAATCTCTATTTATAGATATTGAATTCTAAGGTTTTATTATATTGTTTCAATCAAAGATCATTTTTTTTAATTAGAAACATGTCTCTTTGATATATTATAAATATATTTGTTCATTTGAATAATCAAACTTTTCATATAAAAAGAAATTTTTTTTCATGTTTTTAGAAATTGTCATTTTTCATGTAAAACAATTGACTCCACCTAGAAGATAATTGACTACCCCTTTGTATTTTCAATTTCTAAAAAATGTTCTAAAGCAAAACAATAAACTCCTTTCATCTTACAGAACACATTCAAAATGTGAGTAGTTGACTTTATTCAATTTCTAGAAAAGTTTCAATTACTACCTTTTATAGGGTGGTCAACTTCTTTCTATTAGTTGTAAATTTGTATGGCATAAGTAAATTTTCAAAAGATTCTTTAAATATTAGCAGCTGATTCCATTAAAGTTTAAAATCGATTCCACTTATTCCTACTTATATAAGTCAATTACTTTATGCAGTCGATTTTTATTTTATATAGAAACTTTGTTTAACTTTTGTTTGTCAAAGTAGCTGACTCCATATTCTTGGA